ATCTTGTTTCTGGTATAGCAGGGTTGAAAAAAAAGCCTCAGGGACAGGTGGACGATGGGGCAATGAAATGTCGTTCATATGTACTCATGCGCAGGGGTTGTTTTGCCAAGGGTTTGAATTTTGAAATGTAAGCATGCGGGTGTCTTTTGCTTGGCTTGCAGTACTGCCTTGTATTTGGTTTACTATCTGCTGCACCATTGCTGCCCCCCTCCCCTTCTGCACCCTTGGCTGAGCTTGGCCGCGATCCTGTGTATAACAGTGCGGTGTTTGGGCCCGTGGCGTTTTAATTTCTTTTGTAATTCAATTTAGTTGACGATTTGACTACTAGAGTGCTGTAGGGGCACTGCAAAACCATATCGCTAAATTTGAGTGGCATATGTGTGTGGTTGGTGGTTTAGGATGGTGTATCTGTACGCTTGCGACTAGTGGCTTTGTTCGGTTGATTTTTTTGACTCTTTGTCGCTTCTTTCGGTCTCTGCGGGCAGCAACACTGGTACGAGAGGACGAAAGGATCACTGATCTGAATTTTCTGATTGGTCCGAAGCTCTACGAGGCAAACTGGATTGATCTTGTCCGTGGCGGGTTTATAGCAAACGTCCAGTGCGCAGAGGTGTGGTGTCCCATGACTAAGGAATTCTATGCTGAGTACCTGAAGAAGGAAAACACCAGAAAAAGACAGGTAATCGTATTAAAAACAAGTGAAAATCACAATTTCTCCCCCTCCTCCCTTCCCCCCCCCCAAAAAAAAAAGAAAGAAATTTCTATCTTATTCCATCCTTTCGTTCGCCCGCTTGCCCCCACAAGCGAGGACATACTTCAAGAGGCTTGAGTGCCCCACTCTATCCACTTCAGGATATACAGAAGAGAGTGGCAGAGGAGGCGGGTTCTGGGAGTGGATATAAGTAGTGGCTGTGTGGAGATGATGTACAACCACAAAGGTCCAGTTTTTGCCTGAAAGGGCTGTGGCAGTCTTTTAGACCAACACCACCTCTGTACATGGCCTGCGGAGCCAACGAGACCCAGTTTTCTTTACCAGTTTTGGGCAGTCGAGGCCATGTAAGACAGTGCTGGCTTAAACCACCAGTACCCCAGGGGGTCTTAGGCCCCCTCTGACGCAAATGCATATGGACCAGTGCAGTGCACTGATTCAGACTCCGCGTTAACGCCTAAAAACGCGGTAGGTACTGGTGGTTTAGGTAACTGGAAAGCTGAAGCCTGAAACGGTCCTGATTTGTAAATGATTTGTAAAGCTACTCCAGAATATTTAACAGTCAATTATGCAAGCATGTCTAGGACACTGACTAGATTCTAGACTGGAGTAACAAATAGCTCAAGATAGTGAGACGTCTTAGTTCGGTCTGTCGATCAGAACCGAAATGAGAGACGCCCTCCTCTTTTCTTTTCCTTTCGTTCTTCTTTTTGACAAGAACATAGCCTTATCGGCTTATAGCTATGTTTCGGCTATGGTTCCTATTTTTGGGAGTGAAGTTTGGTTCCTTTTAGAACTCGAGACACAATAGATTCTATTGCTTCTGCCTATTGTGCCATGTCGGCCCTAGGCATTCTTTGTCTATTTTCTAGTATTTTATGTAAATGAAATAAAGCTTGCAGCAAATTTTAAAGAAATGCGGGAAAGGATTACGAGGGCTGCATGTGCGCGAATGGTCCTCTACGGCTCTATAGGGGTCACTTGATTATGTGTGGCACTTGAAAAGGTCAGTCCGCTCAGCGAGTCTTCTCCTCTTCCTGGGTGTTTCATTGAGCTCACTAATCTTTAGCAAGGCATAATACCAAGAAGTAATTCTTTGTGCATTGTGTGAAAAAGTGCTGGCCTTGGAAGACCCACTTTTGCAGTTTTGTTAGCCCCCCCACTCTGCAGTTTTCGTATTTTCAACCTCCAACAAACAGTGCACCAATTTCCAACTTGGCTTAAACCACCAGTACGTGGCCCCCAGCGAACTTGAGAATCACGAGTGAGCCTCTCCGGAAAACGGAGGCTCAGGGCGAAGCTGTATGAAAAACAGTTGCTGGAAAGGAAAACCACTCAATCAATTAACTTTTAGTTTCGAAAAAAGGCGTCTGTTGGACGAAATTCCACAGGTCGTATCACGATACTATCACCCTTTTCCATAGAGGCTCCCACGCAAAACGATTGCAGCGAAGAATTGACTTTCAACGTAACACTTCGTTGACGGGTAAGGTAGAAAGAAGCGAATATGATCCAAATCGTTCCTCTTGGATTTCCCTAGTACACTGGTACTCTGGATCTACCGAACCCCAACATCAGACATCATCTGCAAGATTTACTCATATATTAGTTTGTGATAAATTAAAAACAGGTAGCCCAGTCATGAATAATGTCCCTAGCTTTGGGAACCTGGAGCAAGCTTTTTGGGAAACTGTGTACAATTCGCATATATACCAGTGGGTACTTTTGATTCATAATATTGAATGGAATCCAGGCCAAGGTGCCAAATTCGTTCTGGCTGCAGGGACTTTTGCTCAATTGATTCAAAAACATAGCCCAGAGCAACCGAACCAAAAATGGCCTGCACAAAACTGAAACAAAAAAGCCACGCTGGTGTTTCGGCGAAGATTGGCGCACGCTGGTGTTTCGGCGAAGATTGGCGCGCAGTGGGAATCCGCCTCGTACAAAAGAGGCATGGACGTACTGGTACTTTAAAGATACAACAACCTGAACGAAAAGTGACTCGGGGTGGTGATGGAAAAAATAGTGTCCTGAGCAGGGTTTGCTTTTTTGTTTGCTTATTTCTTTATGTTGTTCCCTTGTCATTTTCCTTTCTTCTCATGTTGTCGTCTAAGCAACCTGTCTCTTGTTTGGAACTGTAATAGGGTCTCGGACCGTTTCCCCTCTGCTGCAGTTGTCCCCGTACCGACTCTACAACGTGCCATGATGGGTTTTCAAATGTGCCAACTTAGTAAGTGGTCTCACAGGCTTGGGGCGATGAGATCTCAAGAGCACTGTTGTTTGCATGTCCTCAACCTGAACTCACTCATGCGGTGGCCAAATTGATGCTCGTGCTTGCAGGCTCTGTATGTCATGAACCCAAACAAGTTCCGGGCGTGTGAGTTTCTCATCCGATACCATGAGCAGCAACGGCGTGACAAGATCATTGTGTTCTCTGATAACATCTTTGCACTCAGGGAATATGCAATGAAGCTGAAGAAGCCTTTCATTTATGGGCCTACAAGGTGAAATCCCTTTTTTCATCATTTTGATTCCGTGCCACCCCCCTTGACTTCTTCTTCTGCCGCTTTGCCGTGGACCTCTCTCTCTATGTATGGCCATGCGTCTGTCGTCTGTTTATGGTTGGTCGATTGATCGGTTGGTTGGCTTACCTATTTACCCTCTTGCCTTCCCTCTTGCCCGTTTGCCCACCACCTCCCTGCATATTTGGCTGCCTGCATGGGTTCCTGCCTGCCTGCCTGCCGGGCTGCTCCCACATGCTCCTCTGCCCACCCTCCTGCTCTTGTGGCTGCCTGACCACTCACCACATGCGCACT